GGATTTGCAGAAGGGAATAAGTGTTTATCTTTTCCCATATTCAGAAAGTCAGAAGGACTATGAGTACTCAGTAGGCATTTCTCTGCAATCCTTATAAAGAATCCATAACGCCTGTTCACACTTTCAGATTTCTGGAATTTACTTTAAAACCCTTCTTTTCTGCAGTGGGAATTTAATACTCACTCAATAAAATTAGTTGGTCTACATGTAATTCTTCCTGGAAAGTCACCATAACTGTGAGGTCAGGTGCCCCTTGCGAAAACTTCATAACTGTTTTCCCGAGCCATCTGGTGCTGACTACTTTCATGAGATGGATTTGCAGACACAAACAAGTGGTGATGTTTTAATATCTAAATTCTAAAGGCTTCTTCAGTTGTAAGTGCTTCCCAAAACTAGCAACTACATTCTATTGGTTTTCTATAATAAAACAAGACTAAAAAAAAGATTACGAAAGGAGTCAATTCCTGTAGTTCTGTGTCATCCATACAATTATAAATATGCTTTCCTTAGTGTAAGTACCAGGCCACAACCAAACTCCCAGTACTGATGATGCAGGCTATTAGCATCCAGCCTTGGACTCAACGTGTGACACAAAGACAGCCAAAATTGTTTCCTGTGCTGAAGACTATCCTACTTGAAAGCAACAACAGGTAGTGACTGTTCTACCTCGTTTTTTTAACACCAAGTGCTGCTTGCTCCATGAACTGGCTCAATGCAAAAAATGGATCACAGAAAGCACAACCAGGGAAGAGAACAGAAAGACCAGGAACCCAGCACAGCAGTTTTTAAGGAACCCTAACACTCTGCTCTTTTCACTTCCCATAGTGGCTTACTAAAGGTCCAATAAAATAGCCACCTTTTAAAGAAATAGCTTTGAATTCTAAGGCTCAGGATGTTCTAGGAAAGAGACTCCTCAGATGCGTCAGGTGCTTCCTGGTGAATAATCTCAGCTGAAAAAAGCCAGTCCATAGGTGGGATTTTTCCAAACTCCAAGAAACATAACCACAAAAGCACAGATTAGTTTCCTTTGGAAACTGTTATTTTCAGTAATGCATTATGTGAAAATAACACTGCAAAATATTATTTATGTTGTTTTGTCCGATTCTCACACTCAACATCTCTCTTTTGAAGGAGCACAAAGTCAGAATTATTACTGCTGCCCAGTGTACCAAGAGAAAGCAAAACTGAACACCTGTTCCTTGCCATACCACTGCAGAAATGTCTGTTTATGACCTTCCTCATTATCCTTTATATTGCTACTGCCTTTGTTTCTCATCTATGTCAAAGCTCCTTCTTAACTGACCATAGGTTTAAACCAATAAGTTTTACCAATCATTCTTGCTCAACTTTCTAGGCCTAGAGAAGCAACTAAAAATTATTTTTGTTGGCATACCTTCAGACACACAAGTGTTTGGTTGCAAAGGTCCAAATGCAGTTCTGTCAATTGTTCTGCCTTACCTCTGTAACAGCACAAGTCAACAATGCTGTGACAAAATCTGAGGTTTCTGGTCCAGATTCAGATACCTGCTCCTATTAGGTAATATCTACAACAAATTGTTATTTCAGTGACCTTTTAAGGAATAAGGAAAACAAGCTTATTCCTTTGTCCGTTAAATTTTCTGTAAGAAATTATTATTATTCTTTAGGAAGTGCACCCTGGAGCAAAACTCTTCATTTCCTTCTCTTATACATTCCTGGTCTGACATGCCCTGACTTATTTTTTTGGGGGGGGTCTTCCCAAACTGCTTATCTCAAAAATAGTAAAAATCCTTTTCCCACTACTTATAATTTTATTCCTTTAAAGCTTCTAGTTCATTTTACTACAACTCTCCCATCATTTAAAATCCAAATACAGTGACTCATCTTTTAATCTTATTTTATTGCCTTCTGTGTTCCACACCTTTCCTTCCTGCATAAGCAGCATACAGGGCGACTGTAATGTGGAATAATCTTTCAAACTGAGTGCAAGTGAACTAAGTTCTTTCAGACTGTTATCTTCTCTTTGGTACTTTGATAATATGATACAACTTGGTCACAAGGAGGAATTAATGCTGAAATCTAAGCTCTTCTGCTAGATTTCAGGGTGGGGGAAAATACTACCAACACTAATTTTTGTCAGGATATTCACAAAGATTAGCTGCACTTTGTTAATACTGGCTTTCCCCAAATGCACCTTCTCAAAGTGCAATTAGGAATCACCAACCTAGATTGCTTATAGAGCTGCTTCTCTCATTTCCCCCTTATGTTATGGAGCATGTCTTGTCTATCCAAATGATTAGATAATACTTAAATTTAGTGACCTCTACATTCTCTTCCCCCAAGTTACTGTTCACCAGATAGACCACAGCATGGTACTGGATGTAAATGGAAGTCTCAACCGGGCAAATATATTGACATTACAGGAATATTCTGCTATAAAACTTCTCAATATCAAGACAAACATGCATAAACTAATTTAATTTACTTTGGTGAGGGAAAGCTAACTACAGTAGTCAAGTCTCAAGAGGACAGAAGGAAAGCAGTTTTAACTATGTATCCGCTTACCTCTCCATACCTTCAGTGACTTGGTAAAGGAACAGGACAGACTTCTCCCTTATCCCTTCAGAACATAGCTCATTTTGGGCAATTGGATTGCAGATGATATCCTGGAGGAGTTCAGTTACCAACTGCTTATTTTCAGAAACCCAAAGGTGAGCAGAAAGAAAAAAAAGAAGAGACAGCCAAAACCCCATAATTTGTTTTTTAAACAAACAAACAAAACCAAAACACACTCATCACAACTACAGGAAGATTAAATCTGTTAAAGGTTTATGGAAAATGTGCAGTACTTCCTCAGGATAACTGCTGGAGAATGAAACTGGCCGGTAAGCATTCCCTTTTCAGAAACGAAGCAAAAACTCATCTCAACAGGAAAACCTATGATTAACTTTGATTTGCAGTAAGTATTTAATGTAAGGACTCACTAAAAAAGGATTTGTGTCCTAAACTTGATCTGTGATTTTCCTAGACTGAATCCAAGCTTTGCCACAAGTTCTTGCCCTGTGTATTTGGATAGGAAGTGAAACATAAGACATAGTAACTAATTCCAGCATCCTCTATGGGAACCTGTTTTGAAAGAACAGCTATCAGCACAACTTGCTGAACTTACGCTGAAAATGGACTTAGGAAACAAAACAAGCCCTTGTAGTATCAGAGGCTTAGTCAGTCCCCCCACTGTTCCAGTACAAATCAAATGACAAGAAAAGAGTGATATGCAAAAAGGAACAATGAAAAACTCCTTCCATGCTTAGAAAGCTTTATGAGGAGAAAAATCACTTCACAATAACCTACATTCTTCAAAGCTTTCAGATGAAAGTGATTTATTACAGAAAATATAATTCTACAGTGAATCATTCTGACTTTTCTTCAAAATGCCCTAGCATTGCAACATAGCTAAACCAAGAATTATTTACACCATTAATCTGAGCAGCCCCACAATAAGAAATAAAGTAACGTGACCCACCAACAGTCTAAGTAAAAAAAAAAACCCACATCAAAACCAAAAAACCCCAACAATACCACCAACCAAAAGTGAACCCAATCAGTATTAGTCAAAAGAAAATTTGATATCTCCCACTAAGACAAAAATCACAACAAATTAGCCTCATACAAATATGAATTTTATTTACAGTTTTCCAAATTCTCAATCAAATCCAACTTCTCAGTTAAATGTGTAGCATTTCTCCTTTAAAACAAATTAAACATTGTGTTCTTTTTACATCTGCAATATGGAGTCCATAGGTACATGCTATCTGGGGCATCTAATGGAACAAATTTAGATCACTCTGTGTGTATAACACTGAAGGTATTCTGTGAAGACTCTTCAAAATGTATCTGCCTCAGGGACAAACATTTCCATAACCACCTTCTAATGACAATTAATTAGGAAGGTTTAAAAACCCAGTATTTTATACCAGGACATACCGTTAACATGTTCATATTGCAAAGTTGCCTGCTCTATAAGCAATGCCACTGAAATCAGACTAAAGATTACCCAAAGATTTAGATATTATTCAATGTGAATAAAAATGGCCATTGATGACTTTTACTTGGGTATGTGTAATTATGGGCCAGTCTGTACCTGATCTGGTACCAGTGTGATGTGATCTGCTCTGAAACCTGAAACCGCATGGGTCATTATCATAAAATCTTTTACAACTGTATTGCACATAAGTTCCTCAAAAGCACAAATCTACATAATTGTGTCCTGAACTCAGAATTTACCTGATAACTCTCACGAATAAAATCAACAAGATGGTAAAATTGTTTATTTTTCTCATCCCAGTGTCTGTGAAAGAAGAGGGAGAAGATATATACACTGTGAAATCCATTCAATTATTTGTTTCTTCTGCATGTGATTTGTACTTCAGAGACAAGGATTTTGGAAAAAAAAAAAAAGCCAGACAGACCGTGGATTTATCTTTAAAAGTACCTCAAAAAACATAACAAAAATTCAATTTAATTTTGATACATATTAAAACATTTTAGTCAGTTCTGCCCAACAGCATAACACGACAGAAATGCACAAGACTTTAAACATGCTTTAAAATGACATTCAACAAAGTATTTTAAATTTAATAAATAGCATACAATCACACACAAATACATTTCATACTGGATCTTTAAGCCTACTAAAAACAGACTGGCAAAGAATAAATAAAACAGTAGTTGACATTTTTGTTTTTAAAAGGTGTAGATTCTTGTAGTCACGCTAGTAGCCACATATTAACCTGCTTATCACAAAATTGGAAGTTATGAGCTTTTTTCCATGAATTTTTTTTTGCTCCAACATGTAATATCATTAAAAAATAGGCTGAAAGGGATTTTTCTTTTTAAACAACCAGTCTGCAACCAAGTAAACCAGTTTTTAAATACAACGAATAAATAGGGAATTAGTAAAGCAAATTCAATTGCAACAAAAATGCAACACCCCAAGAAAAGAGCCATGGAAATATATAGTCATTGCAATATTAGACAATAATAGTACTTAAAGTGATAGTGCTTGTGCACTAAGCTCATTAGAGACCTTAATATGATTTTAGTGCAAATCCCTTGAATCCAAACAAGCTTTATACCCTACAGTTTTTTTTTCTACCAGTTGGAACTTATTCTGTAGTGTATTTGTACGTAACAGATATTTAAAGAGCTAACACATATTGTAATATCTTCGGCCCTTCTTTACTTCAAATGGAAAAGACTAACGACTGGGGATTTTACAAACTATTTGGCTGTACCATATTAGATTGCAGTTTAGGAAAGTCAGTGCTATAAAAGCTTTTGCCGTCAGTTTATCTATTATATCTAAATTTCACAAAACATTGCATTTTGTACTTCTGTGAGAAAAAGAATGCTCCTGGAGAAAGTTTCTCCTCCCTTTAAATAACTTCACATTATGATGAAATTCAAGAATATTTAGACAAAGTGTTGTATAAACTCAAAGAAAAGTACATATTTTACATTAACAACCCTTACCAGCATTTAGTATATTAAGTTACAAGTATGTTGGCAATAATACAACAGAGTCAATTCCTAAAGGAAGATAATTCTGTACAAATTCACCTGTTAATATGGGGTTAAACAGGCAGCCGAATAAGTCTTGAGCAGCCATGTTTCTGGTTTGAACTACAGTACCAGGATAAACTAAATTTGAAACTAACTGGGATAACTTCAGTTTAAAGAGTAATCAGATTATACTGGATACACACATCGTGTATTCAGAGCCACTAAAATGTTCACTCTTATAGTTCCATAACGTCATCCAGTATAAGAAATGTCTCATCAACCACACAGGCTAAAATAGTTTTAACATAATCTTGTCCTGGATTTTTTAAAACTAAAAACTAATTTTAATTGTGAAGTACAAAACAATGACAGATATTGCTCCAACTTGTACACAATCTTTCCTAAACAATCCGTACCTAGCAGAGTAATAATGCCTCATCGTCACTAGTTTCATTTTTCACTGTTGCTTCTAAGCAAGTGTCGGGTATCTGGGCAGTGTGCACGATGCCACAGCTCTCACAGGGGCCATCTCGACTGCATGACCTTACACCGTGATGTGTTGCACTGTAAGGCTGTCTAAGCCCTGGTCCTTGATCTGAGCTGAGATCAAGTAGAGGTCTTGAACAGTCATTCATGTCAAAGTCTGATGCTACATCAGAGACTGGAATTAACATTTCAACATCATCATCCTCTTCTCTTCCACTTACCCCATTATCAAGCTGTCTCAAAGGACTTTGGTTCTGATTCACTGAGCTTGATCTCCCTAAAGTAAAGCGTACCCAGCGTAAGCCTTGAGTCATACGACTTAGCGCACTCGTGAGCTGGTGACGTGCAGGACTTGTGCTTGGGGGCTCAACGCTTGTCACTTCTCTTCTGCTATCCATGTTACCGCTACTACCGCTCTGAGAGGAACTCCCACATGCTCCGACTGTTGCTTCTATTGCTGTTGCAGGAGGGACTTTCTGAGGCAAGGTGGCAGCAACACCACCAACTGCTCCTGCTGTGTCTCTTCTTTCATTTTCTGTGTCTGTATCATCAGATTCAACTGAAAACAGACTTCTGTGAGTATTATTTCTTTCAGCTTCTCTACTAGTACTTTGGCCTGCAACATCATCTCCATCTGCTGAGACCAGTGCCAATGATCCAGAATGACGTGACCTTGCAAAATTAAAAAGTCGATTCCAAATGTTACTTGATCTGCCAGCAATAGGAAGTCTGATTGAGGTAAATCCAAGCTGAGATCGTACTGCTAGTCTCAGGTTTTCCAGAACTGAAGCCTAAATGAGAAGACAAGCAACAATCAAATGTTGACAATACATTGGCATTGCTCTAACAGAAGAATGACAGATATTGTGCAGAACAGCTTATGACCACAAAGATAAATGTAGAGAGTCTTAAATATTAAAAAATGTTGCATATTTAATATTAAGAATCTGGTGTATGTAGCAATAGGCTATTTTGAAACAAAGCAGACATAAAAGAAGTCTAGATTCTCTTGAGGAAAAAACATTATGAACAGAGAAATTAAGCTGAAAAACATATGGAAGAAAAAGGGAAATAAAGGAGCAATTAAGTATATAAGATATGTTTCTGCCCAAATCAAGGACCTTTAAATAAAGTCTAACTGAAAACCAATGCACTGTATTTCTGGATATTGAACACTGATTACAGAAAAGTACATCCACAGACCCAGTGCAGAGCCAGCACAGCAGGTATGCAAGAACTGTTGCAGACGACCTTACCAAGAAGGTAAAGTAGTCACTGTGGATTTTGCAGTGCAGTACATAGAAACACACCTCAAAACATTTAGGATTTAAAAATTAAATCCTCCAGAAAGATTTAACAGAGATGACGTTTCATAATCCACTACCATGGGGCTGCCTACAATGGAGGCTAAACTAACACTTGTACATGCATCAGTATTTTGAGTGTGAAATCATAGTTACATAGAAAAACTATGAAGTAACTACATTTTCTTATACATCACTATGAAAGACTGCCACTTTCTGTAAGCCTTTATTCCATTATTTTAGTTCTGAAGTATAATTTAAAATATATCCAAAGCAATAGCAGTTAATTCAATTTAAGACAAACTAAAGGTATAAGAAAGTTTCAGTAATTACACAGCATTTTAAAAAAGCTCCAGTACCAACCTCTGACTGCAGCGACTACATGTCTGGGTTTTCCAGAGCTGTCCTCTCTATCAGATTTTATTTAAGTAAAAGCCAAGATCTTTAGGTCACCTTTGTGGCGTTTCATGATGAAAAAGAGGTCTGCCTGCTGTTTTTGGAATCTTACCTGATTTGGTGAACAAACAGGAAAATCTTCAACTGGTGGAATTAATCCCTGGGCAATTAACTGTCCATAGGATGGAGGAGCTTCTCTTCTTAACAGTTCAGCCTCAACCCTTGACAAGTGAGTTTCAAATGATCTTTCAAAGAGAAAAGAAATGTCATAATATGTAAGACTACGATGTGTGCGTATATATATTTGTTTAAGAGTAAAACTACATCAGACTATTATAATCTGAAACAACAAATTTCAGCAGATGAAGTTTTACTAATGTAATTGAAATTTAATTAACAACGAATATGCAATAAGTCCTTGCAGTCATTCCTATGGGTCTGTCCAGCTGAGATAAGAACAAAGCAGTCAACCCAACAATAAATTCCTAAAAAAAGCCCCAAACAAAACCAAACCCCCCCAAACAAAACGAAAACCCCCAAACAAAACAAAAAACACCCAAACAACTAACCATGAGCTAAATATAAAAGGCACTATGAGATGCTTATATTATTTTATGAAAATTGAAGAATGTGTAATCCTGGTACGAGATAGTCTACAACAGAAGCAGCATGCTGTTAAATACAGGACTGAGATCTTTAACTGCAGAAATGCAGCTTTTCCACACTTTCTTTTTGGTAACATCTGACAGCTTAACTCTCAATAGTCAAATGATCAGAATACTTCTATCCCCTTTTCTTCACTGAGAGGGTGTTTGGTCACTGGAACAGGGTCCCCAGGGAAGTGGTCACGGCACCAAGTCTGTCAGAGTTCAAGGAGTGTCTGGATGATACTTTTAGTTTTAGGTAGTCCTGCAAGGAATGGAGAGTTGGACTTGATCCTTATAGGTCCCTTCGAACTTGAGATATCCTATGATTTCACAGCAAGGTGGTTGGAACCAGATGATCTTTAAGGTCCCTCCCAACCCAAACACATCCTATGATTCTATGATTAACTAACCTCTTTTTACTGTCCAAGAAAAAGGAACAATGCCTTTAGAAATCACATGCAACAGTAACTGTATGTCAATAAAAAAATTCTAAGTGTAACAATGAATATATTTTAAAAATGTAAGTTCTTGAGGCCATCTGTTTTACTTACCTTCGCTCAAACATCCTGAGTGAGTACAATTTACAAGTACATCCCAGTGCAATGACAAGAAGCAATCCACAAATAAGACTCCCAATGACAGCTGCAGTTATTACTCTAGTGGGCACAATGACTGGGCAGTTCTCTTCATCACTGCCATCACCACAGTCATCTTGAGAATCACAAACCCAGCTCTCAAACACACAGCGGTTATTTTTACAATGAAAATTTCCTGGCTGACAGAAGAAACAATTTTTTTCATCTGAACCATTAGGGCAATGATTCTGGTAGTTGCAGCGATCTGAACGAGGGTAGCAAACACCATTTCGAGAGCAGGGAAACTCATCTCTTTGGCACATGGTGCAGTTTGTTTCATCCCTTCCATTTGGACAGTGCCAGTAACCGTCGCAGCGCTGTTGCTCTGTGTAGCAACCCCAGTTTCCACCACATGGGATCTCCCAGGGCAAACAGAAGCCATCTACTTGATAGGTGGCATTGAATCCTCTTGCAGCATTCACTTTGTCAGCACAAAAATGCACTCTTATCTGTCCTGAGGATGAAACGACTGTGAGGGGAGCATGAGAGTCAAATGCTGTTAACACACGCAACAGCCTCTGCGGATTCTCCTCTAATCCATCATATATTTTGACATAGTCTCCAAGACCTGTACCATCAAGTTTAAAATCGGTGAATCGCAAAATTACTTTGCGATGATCACCAGTGTCTATCAGCCAGGTGCAATTGCTTCCAGGTGGATAGAAGTCAGGATAGTTGGGAGAACTGAAAGTACCGTAGAAGTATTTTAACCGCTGCCCACATGTCGGCACATCACAGTCTATTTCATCTCCTAGGTCAAGACAATCAATGTTACCATCACATTTTAAAGATTCCGGAAGGCAAGCATAAAGCTTGGTGAAGCGAGAAAGACACTGGAACTGATTGTCAGTACAAGGTTGAGCAGAAGAAGCAGTAGGAGGATTAGCTTTGGCACAGATTTCTTCATCCGAGTTGTCTCCACATTCATTCATATTATTACACTTCCAACTTTCTGGAATACACTTTCCGTTAGCACAATGAAACTGGTCACAATCACAACTTGGTTCATCAGATTTCCCTGAAGGAAAAGAAATAAAATATAAAACCACTCTTTTTTTAGAATTTAGCACTTTATGGTTTGTGTCACACATTTATTTACTGCATCAGCTAGTTCGAATAGCTAGAATGGCAAAACAACTATTTAAAGTCTCTATAAATCATCACAACTTTCAGTAAGTTTCATGACAAATCAGTTTTTTCAAGTTAAAATTCTGTCAGCACATGAGCATGAGCTGCATCCTTAGTTGCTTTCAGTCAAATAACTTCAGCCCAACCAAGAAAACAGTGCTTATTTATAGTGACTGAAAAATCTAGCTCCTAAGGTGCTAAAAATAAGCCAGCAAATACTGTTTCTCTCCTCTATCATCCAAAATACAGAAACATTTTGTCCTGCAGTACTGGTTACCTCTTCAAATTCTTTCTTGTAGAAGCAGTCAGACCTCTCTCCTGTTTTTGTAGGTTCCTACTTTGTACCAGAGGATCCATGGCAAGAGAGGAGCTGACAGTCGAAGATGACCTATTACCACCAACCAAAGAGAAAGCTCTGTCCTCACCTCTTCCCGCTCCTCCTGCCTCTCCTTCAGCAACTAAGAGTAAAGTGCAGCAAATGTAGAAACACATGCTTGTCTGAAGACAAAATTATACTTTAGAAGTTATGGATCCAAGTAATGGTCCAGAAAACGTAGGGAGGGGTTGGTCTTTTTATTTTTTTGTTTTATATTGTGGGGGGGAAGAAAGAAAAAATAGTCAAGAGACACCTTTATTTAAGAAGATGTGGTCTACTGGTTACTACCACACTTGTAACATCAAGAATACTCTTTTTCAGGCCTTCATTTATTAAATTTCCAACCATGTTAAACACAGAAGCATAGCTGGGAAGCAAGATATGTCAGCTTTGCAACAACTTAGGGTGAAGTACCACTGTATCATTTAAAATCACTGCAGTTTCTAAAAACAGTGGTGCAGAGTGTAAAACTGGCTATAAAAAATCCTGCCGTGGTCAATCCTCCAAAAAATTTCAAAAAAATTGTAATGCACATGATCCTACAGAGCAGTAATTCAAGAAATAAATTAGACAAATATATATTAAATCTAAATATCCATAGACTTGGGGTTTTAAAAATGAAACAGGAAAGACAGCATGATGAACTCACTGAAATATAGACCTTCCCAGGAGAAGCAGGTTTTATCTTGTTTTACAAGAGAACAATTCAGATTTGAAGGGGTCTCTGGAGGTCACCTAATCAAATCATCTGCTCAAAGCAAAGCTAACTGAAGTTTGATTGTGTTCTTCTAGCCCTTGTCCAATCAAGTATTTTCCAAGTGCTTAACCATACAAAGTGATAAAAGTCCTCATACCTAGCCTGGATTTCCCTTGCTGCAACTAATCTCCTGCAATAGGCTAAGTCATATCACACCTCTGTTCTCCTTTTAGCTATTTTAGTATCTTAGAAAGTATTAAGAAAAAATATTATACCTTGAAATATTTCTTTATTTTTAAAAAAGGTGCAACATCATCATTTTTAAAATTTCACAAATGCTAAGGTTTTTTACAAAATGAATGCAGGAAAAAAATGAAACCAACATGAGTAATAAACGCACACTAATAAGAGCACTACTGAAGAGTGTTTAAGTCAATGAATTTGCTGACAGTGAGTGAAAAGAGAACAAAATGTGTCTGCTGCCAGTGATAAAGTTTTTAAGAAAGTGTTTATTTCACTAAAAACCCCCAAAGAATAGATCCAGTATAAATGATAAATTATATGATCCTCTTGTTCTGTTCTATATCTATATCTATATCTATGTATTTTTATATCTATTATACACTGACATACATACACATCATTCATAATATCAGTATGGCAAATAATTAGAGCCTTGGTTTTGAACTTGAAGCTTATAAAACTGAACTACTAGACTTGTCCTGCCTAAAATGAAATTACTGTACTCCATAGGTGGAGGACAACATGCATAAGAAGAGTCATTGACCTTGTTTAAGTACTGATTATATTCTAGCTCAATGCTTCTACCTTGCAGAACTTGGAAAAAGTGCAGTAGAAAGCTGTAACATGGAGGTGTAAATATTAACAGCAATACTGCAGTAGCAAAACAGGATATGATTTCAACCTAAGTTCTTCCTTCCGTAGGCATTTAAACATCCCAGGAAAGAGCTGCCTACACGATCCTGATTTAGAATTTTTAAATCACTGATCCTGAAGCCATTACATCAGGAAAGTTAACACATGAATCAAAAATTAGCTGTAAAATATTAAGATATGTACAAAATAAGACTATCCTTGGATGCTGTACCACTAAAGACCTCAGGATAGTACAAGATAGGGACTAAACAATCCTTCTGTGCACTTACAGTGAGCAAAGACTTCTATACTTGTATTAACTCTATTTTTTACTCTACATCACCATTAGTAAACTCCCTCCCATTCCAATACCCATAATTATAGAGGCTGATAAATTAAAAGCAGTGCGAGGAAAACAGAGGGAAGACAAGTGACACAAAATTTACCTTCTAGTCAAGTACCCTTCCTAACTGTAATGGTTTTTTTGTTGTTATTGTTTTGTTTGCTTAAAATGAAATACTAATATTTACCTGGAAGACATTATTTACTTTAAACAAGAATTTATTTCAAACAATTCACATAGCCTATCTTCCACATCAGATTTTAAGCATGAGGCTCCCTAATGGTCCCTTTTGCTCTTGTACTCTATATTGTTTCTATCATTCCAGCACTACTAGGCCTAAGTCGCATCCATGTAACTGCAGTATTAGTATTTTTCCCCTTTTTCTAAGATGACATGCCACCCCTGAGAGTAGCCTTAACAACACTGAATTAAATAGCCCATTGAAGCGTTAAACTGAGCAACACTGCATGATGCTAATGAGAAGAAATCAAACAACATAATGGCACAGAATGTATAGCAAAAATGTTGTCGGTATTTCAGGAGTCACCTTTTCACACTCAGAAGGAAAAGCAATCAGATGGTTATTAAAGCAGATTTGTCAACTCTTTTCCTATACACAGGGTCAGTTTATAACATTATAAGACTACTCTGATCACCGAAACACTACACTTCCACCTCAATCAAGTGAAACACTTCCTAAGTATCATATCAAACATAGGGACTAACATGGTTTGAACATAAGCTCAAACCAAAGTTTCAGTAAGATTAATTTTTTAAAAAAAAAAAACAACAAATAAACCAACACCCCACAAAACCATTTTTAAAAGACATTTAAAAACATAGCACTGAAGTCTTAGACACATTAAACGAAGTACTACTGCATGATACTAATAAGAAGAAATTAAGTAACACCAAAAACTGCTTATTGTAGAAAATGTTACAGCTTCTTCCACGAGGGGTTACATAATGAAATTGTTTCAAGATCAGAGGAAACAAGAGGAAAGGACTTTCAGAAAAACTCTACTGAGCCTGTGACTTGCCTCCCCTGCCCATTCCACAGCCTTATCCAAAATGTCCTTCCTTCACAAAGCCTCTCAGGCAGAAATGCTGCCTTCCCTTTATACCCAAGGAGAGGGCGACAACCAGGGAAGAAGCCGATGCCTCACACAGGGTAACAGTGTCCTCTACATAGTAGAGGATGACTGATCAGCCAGAGGCTTTGCCCTGTCTCCTTGTCAT